AAATTACAAATAGGAGAAGGAGGTTTTGGAACTGTCTACAAGGCTCAGCTAGAAGGTGGTCAAGTTGTGGCAGTAAAGCGTGCCAAAAGGGTACAAACTTATGTCTTAATTTGTAGTTGACATTCTGCAATCCAGTAAACTTGGGAATACTGATGCTTTGGATTTTGTTTATCAATGAAATTGTTTGTCAATTTTGTATTGTCAAGTGCTTGGACCATTTGAACCCATGAGCACCGTAGCACAGATTGTTGGAAAGGGTTTAAAATACCTTCAATTGTGAGATGCATACATCTGACATTGGGTGAAATTTGCAGAAACAAAGAAAATTATGCTCCATATGACTGGGCAAAGGAACCTCTTACCCTTTGGCAAGTTATTTCTAGTTTATACGCATGAATAAACACAGGCAAGCACGACCCATAGGACTTTATCTAATCTAGTGGCCTGATCAATTTATTCTATTTGGAGAAGATGCTAGTTACACCAAATTAGCAATCAATGTGACTTAAAAAAATCTAGCTTCCCAGGGAGGCCATAGTAATGTAATCCAGCAAGTAAAGCGCTCTTTTTTTTAATTGATTCAATCAAACGTTGAAATACAGAAGAGTTTAGAGCAGAATAAACAGTAGAAAAATAGCAAAGAAGGGTATTGGTTGCGGAAGATCAATGAGTTCTAGGTCTGTATTTCTTCATTTACCGGAGAAAATATATCCTGTTATGACTGATAATGTAATTCGTGTTATCAGGTCTCCAGCCTCTGAAATAGAGTTTGTGTCATAGTTCTTTTCCCTTTGCTAACATGGATATATTGCGTAGGAACATTTTGAGAGTTTGAAAACTGAATTCAGCAGTGAAGTTGAACTTCTGGCCAAAATTGATCATCGAAACCTGGTGAAGTTACTAGGTTACATTGACCAAGGAAATGAACGCCTTCTTATTGCAGAGTATGTCCCAAATGGTACTCTTAGAGAACACTTGGATGGTAAGTTCCTGCATTTTGATACAGACCTATGATTGTGCCTCTATAAAAAAGCTACTTTTGCGGATGTTCCTTGCAGGTTTGCGTGGAAGGATCCTTGACTTCAATCAGCGCCTTGAAATTGCCATTGATGTTGCTCATGGCCTGACCTATCTACATCGTTACGCAGGTCGGACATCCTTCCCGTGAGCTATTCTTCTCACCTTTGCCACCTTCTCCACAGAAGCTGAATATTAGATATTTGAATCTGGACTTCAATTTACAGTATAAATGGGTGAAGTGAAGCCTGATTCAAGGAAAATCATTTTAAACATAGTTGTATATTTTCCGGGAAAATATGTTTTAGTCCATGAACTTTCTCTCATTTATTGATTCACTGCTTGAACTTTGACTCAGAACCACTCAACCTTATGTAGTTTGTTAAATGAAAGAATTATGAGGATTGAGTTGTTCTGAGTCAGAAAACTATTAGAACGGACTCATTCTTTTTTGTTTTTTTTTTTGGTGACAGAACTGACTCATTCTGAGTCAAGAAAGTATAGGATTTGTGAGTCAGATCAGGAACTGTATCAATAATTGAGGAAAAGTTTGAGGACCAACAATTATATTTTCCTGATTGTTTTTCTTGTTAAAGGTTTTGTTCTGTTTGTTTGTTACGTAAGAAATATCTAATAAGGCTTAAATTGTTAGGTGTAATAGGATGGTTGTCTGTTTAGGAGGGTCAGTTTGTTAAGAGTCTCAGTAACTGCCTGTATTAGCTTGTAACAGGGGAATTTGATAGTTATGCTAGTTGATACTCACCTTTCTCTTCTTTTCCCTACCTTTTATCTTCCTTTCTAACTACCACAAAGACTAGTAGATATTTTCTGGGACAATAGACTCACCATATCGTTTTGTAGCCCCCCCCCCCCCCAAAAAAAAAAAAGAAAGGCATGGTCATTTTAACATTTCAGACTCCTGGACATTCATCAATTTGCGAAATTTTTCCTGATGTGTTGCTTATCATAAAACAGAAAAGCCAATTATCCACAGAGATGTGAAATCGTCCAACATTCTTCTAACTGAAAGTATGAGAGCTAAAGTTGCTGATTTTGGATTTGCAAGACTTGGTCCAATGGACTCTGATCAAACACACATCTCTACCAAAGTGAAGGGAACAGTTGGTTATTTGGACCCAGAGTACATGAAAACATATCAGCTTACTCCCAAGAGTGATGTTTATTCATTTGGGATTTTGCTTTTAGAAATTGTGACCGGCCGCCGTCCTGTGGAGGTGAAGAAACCTGTTGAAGAGAGGGTGACATTGAGATGGGTAAATTCATATCCCGTTCTTGTCTTCTCTACTTTCGATTGATATCTCATTATATGTTATGATTTTACTGGTTTTATAATTGTCTATTAAATATTCCATATGCTTCCAAAAGATGAACTATAAACTGGTTTGATTTCCTCCTAGGCAAGCTTTTTCTCTCCTGGGGTTCCTAGCACGTCCAATGTTTACACGTGCTTTATTAATTTTGAACGTTTTAAGTGACTTGATATAAACCCCACAAAAATTCTTGTTGGCTGACAAAGTACAACGACCATATTGCTGAACACATCATATGACAATGATCAGGCTTTCAGGAAGTATAATGAAGGGAATTTGGTGGAAATGGTGGATCCTTTAATGGAGGAAGGTATAAATGGAGAGGTTGTAATGAAGATGATTGGTTTAGCAATTCAATGTGCAGCACCAACTCGAGCTGATCGGCCCGACATGAAGTCGGTGGGAGAACAACTGTGGACGATCAGGGCAGAATTCCTCAAAAGTTCAAAGAGAGTGTAGTTATTGAAAATGGAAGAGATTCTATTAATTATATTCAATGTTGTTTATTACCTTTTTTCCAATGCATATCTTCTTTGCACTAATCCACTTCAATAATACTTATTCTCATCCGTGTGAAAATAGTAGATTTTAGGTCCGGTCGCCCTTTGTTTTTGAGTGAGAGGTAGGTTCGGTAGCCCTTTACATGTGCTTGTATGCAATTGAGAATGAATTGCCTAATGTTAGTTGAGTTTAATTTTAGCTTGAGTTCTAGATTTTTGTTGTTAGATCTGAATGATATTTTAATTATGAAATACCCTCTCGTGTTATTTAAAGTTATTTTCAACATATTTCATAGAGACTGAGAAAAACTTTAAATTTTATTAAGTCTATTTAAAATTTAATAATTTTTTAATTTTATCCGTATTTAGTATATATTAATAATTTGTACACTTGTATTAATAATTTAATGATATGATTTATAAATGAATAAAAAAATCCTCTCTCTATTTTATAAATAAAATCGGAGGAATACATATATGCGCATGTTTAATAGTCAATGGAATTAAGCAAGAAATGCATAAATATAGATAACCAGGAAATTCACGGGTGAACGATGAGTTCTGAGTGTCCACATTGATGAGAAACATGCATGTGAATGAAAAATAAATTGGACTTTCAACAAAGTTGGTATCTACATGTGGATGAGAAATCTGAGCGTATGAACGTAGATAAGTTATCCATTCCACCACTTGGGCACCTTTTGCATTAGGTGGTTTTCTCATTTGTTGTTGGCATGTAGAAATGTGCAAATATACGGTATGCTTCTTATTTTTGAAGTTAAGAAATTAAAATGAAATTTTGTATAAAATTAAAGAATAAAGAGCATATTTTTGACTCAATCGTGACCTAATATCAACAGCATACAGTATAGTCGACTAGTGATTCATGTCATCATCTCCTGCAGATAACGCCTTGCACCTCCACAGGAGAACGGTGATAAGGTTGAAGTGGGCAGCTTCGCCGGCCGTGGCCGTGGCCGTGGCCACAGCTTCGAAGACTCCAGACTCGGATGAGGAGGTTATCAAGATTGAGGAGCTTGGCTAGGTTGTCCGAGAACATCTTGAAGCTAACACTGTCAACAATGGTGTAGTTGGTGAGAAAAGGAGGTGAGGCAAAGCAACAAAAAGAAAGGGAGACAGGCATTTGTGACCAAGAAAAAAAAAAACCAAACCACCATTAAAAATAGTTGAGGTAGTAATCAAGGGTCAACTAATCAAATCAAGGTTAACCCAAAGTCAAACGCACAGTTCCAATACACATGAATAAAAAGAATAATTGAAGAAAACCAATATATGTTTATTATAAATAACTAATTTAATCAATTTTTTAATATCCTAAATTAATTATTTCTGTGTTATTAAGTATCGGTATTATTGTCAATTTGATGCAAATCAGTTTGTAATTGGGAGAACTAACAGTCTAACACCAATTCCACTGTTAAGTCATATTTACTTGAAAACTTATCATCTATTTAAAAATTTGTACATAATATAATGCTAACTTGTATATTATGCGAGTGTATCTCAAAATTACTGGCTTATGTGATTTCGCAAGTGTAGAAATGACGATATGACAAATAATAATTACCAACAAAATGAACATCTCAAAAAATTAAGACAAACAAGCAAAGCACACAGCTCAAGATAGATTTATTATATTCAAATCCTATCATTGATCATAAGTCACTAACTTCTGACAACAGTTATATAACTATTGATTATTGATATTGGTGATTTATTACGTGCTTAAATTATCAATTTGATCTGTGCATATATCAAAATAAAAAATCATCCTTATGCTAAAATTACGAGTCACGTAAAAAGTTGAAGTCAATGATTATGAAATAAATAATAGAAATTAATATATATTGATTTTATTGGAAAACAGATTATGCTAGATAGAGAGCCTTAATCAGTGAACCAACAATAGATGCCTTGTACCAATAAGTGTTGATTCAAATGGAAGGAATTTAGACACTTTAAACATTATATCCTGGATTCTATCCTTAGGACGGCGTGTATACAAAAAAAATATTGTTGAGAAACGTCTTTGCTACGGGACCTAACAATACTCTAAGAGATTAGTCTCTTACCATTTAGGAGGAAGGATACTTCGTGGGGGGAAAAAATAGATGCCTTGAAATTCAACGCATTAAAGGGAGACAAAGAGGTTGATTAATAATTAATATAAAGCCGATATTTATTGACTAACTCGACTAACCCAGTACCCCAATGACTGCAAAAAAAAAAAAAAATTAAAAAAATAGAACTCCATCTTCATCAGAGACCTAAACCCACATCCCCAAGTTGACATTCCATTTCCCAGGGAAGCATTCATATCTCATCAGAATTCTGATGTAACCTTGTACAGAAATGAGGAGCAATGTCTTGTATAGCTCTGGATTCTTTTATTAAGCTGGTCAGAGAACGATTTTTCTGTTATGCAGCCTTCTGCAACTAGGAGTTATTTACATCTGTTGAAGGCCAAGCTTGAGCCTTAGAAGAACTTGTTCATAAAAGGAAATTTTATTCTTAATCTTTTCCATCTGCTTCTTTCCAGCAAAGGATGCAACCCCAGAATGTGCTCTGGCATAAAATCGTGCCTTGTTAGTATTCCGACGACCGGTAATCTCTGCAATCAGTAAGCACACAACTAATATGAGTAAAAACACAAAGAATATTGATGGTACTGATTAACCACGAGTAACATGCACAACATAAAACAAGGCATAATTAACCAACTTAGTTATGTTCATGGGGATATTAATATGCTATGAACAAAATATAGAGAACAAACCCAATGGCTTTGCATAGTGACACCCCTTCTCTGTTCATGCATTCATACCTAAGAATGTAACTATATGACATCAACATCCATCTTCATACCCATCATTCTCTCTATTTTTGTTTTTTTAATCTTTCTTTAAATGCAATATATGGAATTACTGGGTGGGTTCCATTTCTCCCTGGTACTTCATAGGGGTTTGGTCGGTTTCAATGCCTAGCCAGAGAACAGTTAGGGATGTTAACTAACCAATTTAGTTAATGCATGACAAAATCGGAGCAGGTTTTGATCAAACTAATGAAATTTACCAATGTATGAAATATTCTTTTCTCTAATATATCTACTAACCCGTCACGCAAGCATAACTTTGCTTATTCATGACGTAATAAATAGAAACTACACCAGGTTGGCACAAAATTAACATATGGAAACATTCTATGAGGGGGGGGGGGATGTGCAGAAAATAGATAATCCCTCAAAAACATATTGGTGGCAGTAAGGCAAGACAGAATGACTTACACTAGAGACCTTGGGTATAACCAGAAGATGCCTTAAACCGACTTCCCGAAAAAGCGTAAGGGCCTTTCCCAGAGACATTGTCCCCACGACGGTATAGGGTGAAGCATTACTAAATGGATGGAGATCTATGTACATGTCCAACTCTTCCTCAGTAAACTGTATATCATCTATCTTGTCACTATTGCCAGAACCCCTCTTTGAAAATTCATCACAAGAAAAACTATCATAGGCATTATCTCCTATTGCCATTGGTGTACGCAAGAAATCTTTCTTCTTTAACACCGTGAGAAGATGTTGACGAAGAATCGTACCATATAAAACTGGGGCTTCAGAAAATGGAGGCTCATCAACCACAGGGAACCCATTATGACTTGAAGTCTTGAGGACAAACACAATGTTGCGAACCTTCTCAATGCCATTAAAGACCTGTAGCGGACCTGTGACTACATCACTTACTGTTAGCTGCCTCATATATGGCTCAGCATGAGTTTCTAAATAAGGAAACCCTTTTGCTTTCATGATAAGGTCATATATACTTGCATTGAAAGCATCAGCTACAGTCTTAGATATCAGAAGCACCAGCATCATCAAGGGTAGCAACAACAAATTATTTGTTAGTTCTAGTAAGATTACACATAGGGAAACAGTCATTCTCATAGATCCTCCAAGAAAGGAAGCAGCACCCAATACAGCAAAAAGGCCATGGCTAAGAGTCGAACTTTTGCCAACCAACATACCAACCGCACGCCCGTAAGATGCACCAATCAGAATATTTGGCACAAAAAGACCAGCTGGAGCAACAACCCCATAGCTAAAGATGCTTAGAAAAAAGCATGTGATGAAAAAGATAAACATTGATGGATATGTAAACTCCTCATCTGTGCCTTTGCTAAATAGATTTTTGATAGCATCACCGCATGTGTTAAAAAAAAGGCTGGCAAGATCGTTGTAATGACCGGGAGGGCATTGGAATTTCTTGTAGTTACCAGAACGGCCGATTGTAGGACATTCCTCAGGGGCATCAACTGGACAAGGTTGACAATATACAAGCCATGGCAATCCAAAAAGAAGAACAGAAGTAATAATGGAGATCAAGCAAGCAAGCAAAATTTTGTATGCAATGCCTTTCCTGAAAGAGAAAATTACAAGAATGAGCTTAGCAGAAAAACTTTGTACAAAGTTAGGATACAACACAATGATCTTACTCGTGGATCATGTTGTAGACACGGAGAACCCTGCTCAACAGAGCATTATATAAGCTTCCAAGTAAGCCTCCTATAACTCCGAGAATTATTGCAGGTAGCACATCCACCAGATGATATGAAATACTTTCTGAATAAGCATTAAACATAATCAGCCCACCTTTACCGAATAGCCCGCATTTACCACTTAAACAAACATCTATCAATGCACGAAGCACAAGTGCAACTATTGCTGTTGAGAAGAAAGTTCTCCACAGAAGGGCACTTCTCCACCTGTAAGAACAGAACAAAAACTGGTTATGGAAATTAAAATTAAAAAGACACACACTTTTAACAGTAATCCAAAAAGAATAAATGGAAACTGACAAAATTGGAAAAACATCTCATACTTTGCACGGAACCTAGAATGGATTGGAGTTGCACACACTGTTCACGTATTATGAATAATGTGTTTTGCTATTATATCATGAGAAAGATATACAAGGGAAAACAGGAAGTGGGGATGAGAGAATGTGCCATCATAATAGCTGTCTGAAAATTTAGATCAGCCTGTTGTATAAACACATATATAAACAAGTTGCCCGGTCATGTTTAGTCAAGGTCCTCACTACGTCTATTATGACATAGTTTGGGTTCACAGGGCTGAAAGAGAAAATGGAATCAGTAAAACGCACCAAGATGCCATCTCTTCGAAAGCAAACAAGACCCCACCAACTGGGGCACGGAAGGCTGCAGCAATTCCAGCAGCTGATCCACATGTTATTAGATCCCGTCGATCACGGTCGTTCTTAAAAAAACGTAACCATTTCCATGTTAGTCGATATCGGTTTGAACCACCCTGACCCAACAATGATCCCACACATGCACCTATATGCACCATAGGCCCAGCCTTTCCAATAAGAAGGGATGATGAAACTGCTGAAATGCTTCCAATAACCTGTAGAAAGAATGAACATGAATTCAATCCATTCTTCAAGGAAAGTATGAAAAATCTGAAATTCCATCTTCCCCTTCAAAGTAGCGGGCTTTAATTTATGTAAGATACCAAAAAATGACATCAAATGAATCAATACTAACTCATCAAATAGCATCAAAAACCAAGGTTGTGGAAGTACACGAATCATACAATTTTATTAGAGTATAATCCCATCTCTTGAGTAAGTTCAATCAACGTAGCTGGTCAAAAAAAAGTTCAATCAACGTAGAGTAACAGTGTGAGTAAATTCCGAACACTGAAAAAACGTTGCATACCTTAACGAACAGAGTTCTAAGCGTAAATATTCCAGGGGCATCTACCCCATTTAAGTAGGCTTTCACCTCTGGTATACCAGAACCCATGGCCGCAGGCGCTATAAAAGCCGTGATTATAGTAGAAAAAAGAGTGAGAACCAAATTCGAAGAAAAAAATACTACAAAGGCCAGGAGAAACCTGCAAAAAAGGAAATTACTCAAGGTTTAACAAATTATATTTGCTTCAACAAAAAAACAAAAACAAAGCTACAAAAGTAATTGTGTCCTCTCCCGGTATAACTAGCACATTGTAGTATGTGATTCAGTCAATGGAAGTAGCCAAATTATATATTTCTACGTGACACAAAGCAGGATTATAGACAGTACCTCCCCTGCAACATCATGTCAGATGTGATCACGAACTTGAGGCCGGCGAGATTCTCAATCGCGAGATTAATGCAAAATCCAACCAAGCTAACAATCCCACCAATCAACAAGCACAAAACCCACTTCATGAAAAGGTACTGGAATTTCTGAATCTTCCCTCGGCACCTCCAATCCTGCTTGAAGAACTCGTTCTCGAAAATCCTGCATACCCCAGAACAAAAAGGTGAAGAATTGAGCACAAATTCATTCACAACAGATGAAATCCCATAAAAACTTTCTCCAAAAGTTTCAAAGAACAGATCAAAAACAACATACTCATAGTCAAGGCTCTCAATGGGACAGACATTGGCTCCAACAATGGCAACCTGCGACGTGGAATTGATCCTGGGTCTTTCGGAATGAAGCAAGGGTTGATGGAGGGACTCGCAGTCCCCATTCGAGTGGTCTGAGGACATTGTAGAATACTAAGGGAGTACGTGAAGCAGCATATGAGTATGTAGAGAGGGAAAGAGAGAGTGGTTGGAGCGCAGAAGTGGAGTTGGAGAGTTGAATAGAAGGTGAGACAGTATGGTGAGTGATACTGATATGAAGTCCGGCTCAGAAAGTGGAGGCGAGAAAGTACAGAGCAGAGACGATCCTCCCGCACACAAAACGACGACGTGGGAGGCTTCCGGGGGGGACTGTAATCTGTGACCTATATATTCCTTTATCGCTCCGAATCCGCAATGATTGACTTGAAATGCCAACGTTTTTTTCTTGAGAAATGAGTCCCTAACTTTCCCATTAAGCAACCATCTCAACCATTTCCGCTTTTTTGAGGTTTTTTTTCCGCCCTTTTAAGTTCCTTTTTCAGTTCTTTAAGACTTTAAAATGGAGCCTACAGGGCTAGGCTCTATTGCATTCCTCTCCCCGGAGTGAATGAACAGCACTCCCCATTGAAGATTCTTTGCACTGAAAAGCAGATCACTATAATTAAAGACTCTTTTTTTATTTATTTAATGCAAATAATAAACATGTTAATATCAAGCTTAAATTTGAGATCTCTTGAGCCTGATACAAAACGTTATCACTAGAACAACTAACCAGTGAACAGATTTAAAAACTCTAGTTTGGATCAAACCGACACAATTTGGGGAGATCTTGCAGCTTTATCTAAGAATTTTAGTAGTATAGATATTTTTATTACTAGTTATCATTATTTTCATTCCTTGTTTTTCCTTTTCTTTCTGCCCTCATGTGACCCCTGTAATCTGATTTCTCTTTAATATAATTTGCAATTTAAAAAAAAAAGAGAGAGACTAGATGGTAAATTATTGGTTAAAAAGTAAAAGTAAAAATATACATTTAATCTCCCAATTGTATATAAAATTTCATTATGGTTTTTGGATTTTATAAAATATTTTTTCAGTAAATTAACCTTAACATCATTCGTTTTGAATGATTTTTTTAACGATTATTATAATTTTGAAAAATTAACCTTCATCTCCACTTGAAAATATTTTGTCAATGTTTAAAATTTTGATATCGATATTGTTTGTTAACGACATTGAGATTAAATAATTGAGAATACATTTTATAAAATTAAGAGATCAAATAAAAATTTATATAAAGTTAAAAAGCTACAGGTGTTTTCAAATAAATTTTATTTCATTATGTATGATATAGATTTTCTTGAGCCAATTTTTCCAAATTATAAGTTCAAATCTTGTATAATATATTTAATTATCCATAAATATTAGCGTTGATTTTTCAGATAATATTGAATTTGATATATCTAAACTATTTTTAAGATTTTATTGCTGTTAATCTCAACTACCCTCAAGTGATAAAGGCATGCATACTTATGCAGGTCATTAATTATTATATATTATGAACTTATCACATATCGTACGTAATATATTAAATAACCCTATACGTCATTATCACCATATACATCAAAATTAAAAAAAAATAGCATACATACTAAAAGGAGGATTCATGATTCAATATAGTTTTTATTCATTTTGGTCCAAAAAAATATAGTCTATTCGTTAGGTCCCCTCTCCACAACAAACAAGAATGTCCAATTAATTTTTAACACAACCCTTCCTAGTTGAATCACACACTTGTTTATAATTATTACATAGTTTTGTTTTAAGAATAATCACATCTAAAATTAGAAGCCATAATTTTTACAACTCTATAATTAGTGGGCCTTCTAGTACATTACAAGCCCTTTAGTCTTTTATATGAGTCACCTTTTTTGGAAAACAAAGAAATGGGTGTCACCTTTTATAAGTGATTTTGCCTAAAAAAAAAATGCACTATTATTTTTTTTTTCCAATTTTGCTTTTGTATATGAAAATGATAAGTGTTTTTGAACATGATGCATTTGCTTGGATGAGGTGGTCAGAAATAATTTATACATAAAATTTTGGGGGGGGGGGGGAGTGTTATACATGGTTTCTAGTTTAATGATGTTAAACATCTTTCTTAAGCTTTTCTTAAATATGAATTTGTGAGTTTGACTGTTTATAAATATGATGGATACATAAGTTTTTTTTGGATAATAAATGAAAAAAATAATGATGACATTAAAAGATGAGGGATGAACGTTAGAGAAAGCTATAAAGGGTTAAATGCCTGCAGACATGGCAAGATCCCACCATAATTGATATTTTGTGATCCCTATGACTATTTTTTAAAAAAAAAATAATTGCTAAGAAATGGGCCCATGAAAATGAAAAAAAAAATTTCTTCAATGATTCTACGGAAAATTCACACTGGCTTCCTTCATCAGCATTGAGCTGATTGTGATCTGTCTTTTAATTTAAACAACAAAATGCTAGAAACAAAATGGTCCCATTTAATATAACCATTTGTGATCCGCTTGGTACATGGGACCACTGCATGTCTGCCTCTATTTGTTTTTTTTTTTTTTTTACTTTGTCTTTTATCCCTAATATCATCAATAGGAGGGTTCGGGACAAGATCAGGACGACCCGTCTTGACAATCGAGATGGGGTAGTCTTTTTATCCAAGCGTCTCTCCGGTCCTAATAGCGTCCTCTCCTGTTTGAAAGTAGATACCATTAAGATGGGACGTATTTTTTTTTATTTTAGAACTAAATGTATTTAGAACATAAAAAACCATAATGAAAATTATATAAAGAAAATAGATAAAAAAAATTGGCTAAAAACTTGATAGTAATAAAACAAAATGTTTTTTCAAAAGACAGAAAATATATAAGGGTTAAGGTGCGTCCAGTACTCCAAACTATTTTTCCAGGTGCGCCCATTGTCCTAAAATAGTTTTCGGTGCATCCTGTGTCCCAAACTAATTAAAACGATGCATCTATATCTTGGACTAACAGAAAAGTTAAGTTTGATCGTTACCTTGCTGACTCGGCCGAAGGTAGACTGAAAAATCCTATGTGGCGGACACGTAAGCGTTTGATGTGTATTATTTTGACGAGTTAAAGTGTGCAAGCACCCCGAACTATTTTCTCAAATGTGCCTAGTATTTTAAAGTAATTTTTGGTGTATCCAATATCTCAAACTAATTAAAATCTCAAACTAACAGAAAAGTCTCGTTTAACCATTACATTGCTAACTTAGCTGAAGGTTAACCGAAAAATCTTATATGAGAAACACGCAGGTGTCTGCTGTGTATTATTTTGACTGAAAATTCAATTTATTTCCTTCTCTTCTAACATTTATCTTCTACTAATTTTTAAACTTAAAGAAAAGAAAGACCACCGATTCACCCTCTTAAATCCTGGTACATTTACCAGCCATTCAATTACATCCTCGTCTTTAACATTTTATCTCATTTCTTCCACCACTCCAATTTGAAACCACAACAGCTATCACATCACACTTCCGTCTCCATCTCTGTCAACTCCTCATCCGACTCGCATTTGCTTTCCTCCTCGTATAACATAGTAAACTTCCCCTTGGTCACTCTGTTGACATCGCCGTCATCTCCCGAGAAAACACCCGCTACCACCGAGTTCGTCTCGGGAGCTTTAGTCAAAATGATACACATCAAACGCTTGTGTCTCAGCCATGTAGGATTTTTTTTGGTCAACCTTCAGCTGAATTAGTAAGGTAACAGTCAAACGAGACTTTTCTGTTAGCGTGAGATATGGACGCACTGTTTTAATTAGTTTGAGACACTGAATGTACAAAAAATTGCTTTAGGACACTGGATGCACCTGGAAAAATAGTTCGGGGTGCTGGGCGCACTTTAACTCGTCAAAATAATACACATCAGACACCTGCGTGTCCGCTATATAAGATTTTTCGTTCAACCTTCGGTGGAGTCAGCAAGGTAATGGTTAAACTTAACTTTTCTGTTAGCCTAGGATATGGATGCACTGTTTTAATTAGTTTGGGACATTGGATGCACTAAAAATTACTTTAAGACACTGAGCGCACCTAAAAAAATAGTTCGGGAACGCACCTTAACCCAATATATAAACTCAAAGTGTCTCTCAAAAGACATCATATAACTCTTGAAAAAACTTATAAATAGTAAACAATATAATCATAAAAATTATAATATGATTATATTAATAATAAGTAAAATAAATTTATAAAACTAAAAAACATAATATATCGGGATGGAACCATCCTATCCCTAGATATTTTTATCCAGTCCCACTTTTAAAATAACTGAGATCAGGATGAGATATTAGGACGAGACACAAGTGAACATTCTAATTATCAATAACTCATATCTGATCACCATTACTATTAAATCTAAATGTAATAAATTTCTTAGAATGGTTTTAATGAACTGAAATTATTATGTCATAAAATGCTAAATTATTTTACAAATATCTTAAATAAATTTGATATTTTCGCACCCAGGAAATTGTTTCTTCAAATAATAACACTATTAAAATTGGAAAAATGACATAAAAAGTTGAAAATTACAATATTCCAATTTAGGTACTTAAGAGGTCAAAATTCTAGGGAAGGAAGTGATACCTGATATGTTATTTTGCAAATATAATTAAAATGACAAAAATGTTCTTGTATCAAAAAGTTTATTAACAAGTTGTCAACTGATAATGACAAGTATTGAACAGCAAATGACAAGAAATATACTGACAATAATAAGTTATTTGTTAATAAGTTGTAAACTAGTAATGACAAATGTTGAACAACCAATAATAAGAAATATATTGGCAATGATAAGTTTGATAACTTTTTTTTTAAAAAGAAAAAGATACAATGACATTTTAGTCATTTGACTAAATTTACAAAATACTAGATCAACCACCAGTTCCTCCCTTGGGATTCTAACTTCTTAGGTGCCTTAATTAAAATATTGCAACTTCTAACTTTTTTTAATGTCCTTTTCCATTAAAATTTAATATATACACATACACGCTATCTCTGATTTTTAATATAAGACCCAATTAACTAATTTAATAAAAATAAGAAATTTACTGAATTACTTTAAAGTATTTATATTTATTATTTTTCTCCAAATTAATTTGTCTTACTTATAAATTGATATACAATCTAATTATGCATATAAGTATTTTAGAGAGATTATGTAATATATACTATAAGTAAATAATTTAGTAACTTCCTTAGTCTCTCTAAATTAATCAATTAAGTCTTATATATTATCTACACAATACAATAATCTTATTGTGATAATAAATTTTAATTTATAATTTATCACCCTTGTGAAAAAGTTAATTTTTAAAAATA